ATGTAGTTTGTTGCATCATAATGTAAGCTCGCCTTCAAATAGGGTGTACAAAATACTAGGAATAGTCTCACCTGTTAACATCAAAGACTATTGGAAGCTGAATGAACACATCTCTAAAACACCAACATTGATAAAAGCAGGAATTAATGGATCTAACCGCCTGGCACCAGAGCATGACGTATGAGGTCAGCTTGTTTAATCAGTTAGGATTAAGAGCAGGTTTCTCTAATATTTCTCAAAATCACAACCTTTTATCGGTCAGTCTTTAAATTAACTTCAACTTTTGTTTAAAATAAAATAAATAAATAATAATGTGACAGATACTACTTGTTATGCATGTATAATCAGTTTAAAATATACATGCTCACATTTTGAGGGTTCAAAGTTCAGAACATTATAGCCCTGCTTTAAAACAGATCTTTCACAGATCTGGTAGTCTATTTAGATCTACGAAAAAGCAGCACATACTGTTATGATTTTACATTTTAAAACACTAATGTCACTTTATCAATGACTGTGACTGTAAAAAAAATAATAATGTGATGGAGGAAGGAGATATTCTATCCAGCTCTAAAATGCTCTAGAGAAATTTTAACAGTGTTACTTTAAGCATTTCAGTGTATTTTTTTTTCCAGTGTATGAACATGTCCTGTTACACTGAAAAGTCTTTTCTTCAGCGGTAAAAACATACGAAAGAACAAGATGTTCCAGTTGCAGTGGACAGCTTTCATAAGCTGTTGCATGCACAGTTATGAGTTCTGACAATTTAATGTTGTTTTGTTGACAAACACATAGAGGGGTCTTTTCTGAAAGAAAACCCATGAAACACTTACAAAAAACAAGCAGGTTTTCTATATGCATTATATAACTGCAGCAGTACAGAGGAACACTGGCCTAGTTTCCTGCACACAGTGACCTGCTCTACAGTAGCAGAGAGGGAGGAGGAGGAGAAGGCGCCTGCTTAGAATGCACCAGGCAGGAGCAGCTGAGACAGGAAAAAAACAGGATCTCTCACTCTGAGCCTGCGTGGACTCTCTCCGTAATGATGAATTTAACTATTCATGAACATATCAATGTAAATATGCCAGAATTAGCCAAAAAGCTACTTTTCACGAATATGTAAAGAGCTACAGAATATGTAAAAATCAGCATTCAACCAAAGGGCTGATCTGTTGGCGGCCAAGCTTAAACGGCGCAGGAAGTGTAATGCACTTTTTCAGCAGGTCTGATGTTAGCGTTAGGGCTGTCTGAGGTAGCTCAACCTGCACCTTCCCCAAAATGTAACTACACCTCACAGCTATGCAAACGTAAACAACTGTGATAGGTTTGTTTCCTTTTAATATGCAGTGCAAACACAATATGTTGACAGCTATAGCGATCCATGCAAGATACATTGATTTATTGGAGTGTAACTGCATGTAAAGAGTTGCAGACATGTGACATTAACTCGTCTGCCATTTGGATGTGTGACAATCATGGTGACAGTCAAGTAAATAAGGCCACAGACACATAAGGCTAGAGACCAGTGTGACCATCTGTCAACCACTTTTCCAGAGGAAAATTATTTTTTAAAAGAGCCCCAGTCACAAAGGGTCATGAACTGGTCAGTGATTCCAAGTGATTTCCTGCACCTGAAGCAATTTCTACTAGGTTTTCACCACCTTTGGAACTGAGCCTCCTTTAGCCACTGCCAACCTGTCAGGGAATATATGGCTTGCCTTAGCAACCAGTGGTTATATCACATCCAATACGATGGACAGTTACACGTGATTTAGACTACTGCAGGAAATTTACGTCGTAACAACGTAACACTGTTCGACCCTACATACCAACCTCCCACGCCACTTGAGTTGTTGCAGGCTGCGTTGACCCTATATCTCGTCACATTTCTCAGGAAGTGCACGTCAGGTTACGGCGTAGGGTTTAGAGGAGTTTCTGGTTACGTAGTAAGTTATGCAGTAGATTTCTCACTGACGCATAATTCAGTCATTAAGCGATGTGCAGCATGACATCACAAGAAACCTGAATAGTAATCTCACATGAAGAGTTTGTTGACTCCAGAGCTGAATGAAGTTGTAAATATAAAAACGTAACGCTTGTTAATTCTCTCCGGATGTAGTTTACACGGATGGGATACCGGAGTGAGCCACCTGCTTTATAAACGATCTTTGGGAGGGGTTGCCCGGCACGCACGTGGTGGAAGGGGCGTAACCATCTATGCTTTTTAAACTACAGGGGCGTGGTTTGTTGTTTCACGTCATCGACTGACACTCAAAGCCCTCCACGAGAGTCTGGAGAGCCAGGGGAGTTTGTGATTTTCCTTTTTTATGTATTAAGAATCGACAGTAACACCGAAACACACAGGTACGCAGAGTCACTACAACACCTGATATCCGGAAGGCGCGCGGAGGGACTGAGGGGGCGCAGACTGCTGGGGTGGGAGGGAAGAGGAGGGGGAACCTGAATGCCAGAGTCACTTGATCCCCAGCGGACGATGTCAGGTCATTATGTAAAACGAGCCTAGCACTCCGCGCGCCACCGCCCTTCATCGGACCGTGTTTTGTTTTTATTTTTAATGTTCCGCAGCAGCGCGTGCAGATACTCAGAAATACAGGAAGGCGCGCGGTGACGCGGCCGAGCAGCACGTTAAGTGTCTATGCAGCAGGTTTCGATGCAGTAACCCCTGACACTGCAGCAGAAGCCCGTCTCTGTCTGCCTGTCTGAGACCTGACCTCAATCTTGACATGAAGAGAGCAGCTCCACAGCAGCTACTCTAAAACCGGAATGAAAGTAAAACTAGGAAGAATGAAACGGTCTTTAAATGCATACGTGACAAACGGAATCAGTTCAGACACTGTGCTGGTAAATGAGCCACAGGCAGGGTTTCCTCTTACCTCGGAGACTAAACCTTTCACTGAATGGGTGGACTGGTTCCCACTCCTGACTGTCAGAGTGTGAAAAACGAGCGAGCTTTTATTTATTTTATCTTTTTCCCCCAATAAAAGACAAACTTACCACGTGCTTTCTGTTGTTGCTGGGCTTGAAATTCCAAAAACTTGGCCGCTTCCAGAAGCGTTTCGATGCTCATTTCTGTCCGCTTGAAAATACTTTTTTTCGGAGAAAAGGCTGTAAAGCAGACGCGCCTGTGCGTATAGCCTGCCACAGGGAGAGGTTCCCGGTCTGAAGCTGAGGGTGGGGTAGGGGGGAGGAAGGAGGAAAAAAAAGAGGGTAATCCGATACCCCCCTCAGTAGAAACTCTACCACTTACGTAGAAGAGTTACAAACAAGATGGCGCTCAAAGTAGTACGAACAAATAAGGTTTGTGAATCACGCAGCGTTTGTAACCGCCCACAGACAAACGCCCTCCCTCACCGCGTGCATACGAGGGAAGCGACGGGAAAACACGGAGCGGGGTTCGGGTGATTTCGGTCTCGTGGAGCTCTCTTCACGAGTCACGTCCGCCACACGCAGAAAATGTATCAAAAATGTTGCCGCTTATAACGGCGGCTTGTTCTGTTAAGTGTCTCACGTGCCGCCCTCTCGCGGCTTGATGTTTGACTAACCGATGACTACAAGTTGTCACCGCGTAGTTGTTCTGTGTGAACGAAAGGTCGACAGTTTGCTTGACTGCGGTAAATTTACATCTTATTGGCGCTGTGTCCACCAGCCAATCAGCGCGGAGAACAGTCAGCGTGCTTTGTTTGGCACGTCAGGGTCACATGCTGGGAGTTTACGAGCGTGCATCAGGCGTACGGGCACTTTAAAAGTAAAAACCAAGCAAAAAACCAAGCAGTCACGGGGTAGACTGAGCCCTGCATCTAATAACTGCAAGTGCTAGTTCCAACAGTTGCATCATAACACCTCTGTGTACATAAATAATATAATCCTGTCTGTCTGTATAATGTCTTATTTTACTTTTACATTTCTGTTCATGTGTAAGTGTTTCTATACTATGATTGGTTCCTACATCTAAAGATTACTTCCACTCTTTAACCCCTGTCAAACATAAGGCTCAGGGGTCACAATCAGACTGCCAACATTTAAGTTTGGCCCACTGGTCATGAAGGAGGGCATACATTTTTGGACTTTTTACTGCATTTACATGTTTCACAGCTTCCCCATGGTGATTCATACTACACTAAAGTAATTAAGTAGTAGATAAATAATCAAGTGGCAGAAAACCTCCCGCTTTTTTCACTATAGAAATATATGTTGTTTTGTTGTTTTTTATAGTGGGTTCACTGGACATTTTTGTGATGTTACCAGAATTTTACACATTTGTTTACACATAAAATTTAAGCCCAAAGACTCTTGTTGCAAGGTTTCTTCATCATGCGGGAAAAACTGAGAAATACTGTTGAAACTTCACTTGGTTTTTTAAATTAGGATATCTCAAGGATTAAACTAGTTGACACTGAAGGGCAGTTTCACTGGTCCGTCCCACTAAAGATATGGCTATAAAAAGAGCTTGTCATCCCTGCTCTAATCAGTGTTATTACTGAAGCCATATCTGTAGTTGTTAAACAATAAAACCATAGCGAAGCAGCACATTTTGGCTTAATGTAAGGCCACAGCTCAGTTTCACTTTCATCATTGACTGCTATTATGTCAGAATAAGGATTAATGACAATACACTTCCCTCTAACTCTATGGTGATTTTGTCCACCCAAATGTACTTTTTTATAGTAAAGAGGGAAAGAAAAAGCAATAAATTAAACTATTTTAGTGGCTGGAGGCAGCAAATTAAATGCTGGACTTATAAATAACTTCGAAATGATTAGCCAGTCACTTCAGGTCTTTTTGATTTATTAGGGTAATAACTCCAGTCACACCACCAATATCCAGACTGATTTCTAAGCCTTCAAGGTTTGCAGAAAAAGGAAACGTCATCTTTATGACAGCAACATAAATAACAGTGAGAGAGTTACTGGAAGTTTTTAAGCATATTAAAAATCTTTAAAGATGTTGTATCAGCGGACCAAAAACAAAAGAACAAAATGCCAGCTTCTAATGTTGTTGCCCTTTATTCAGCAGATATCACATGACTCATGCGTCGCCGGAGTCAAAGTCCGGCCGTGACCGCAGGACACGTCGTACGAGCAGGAACCGCGTTTCTGCTTATGACAACAGAAAATGTGCACATACGTACACGTGGCCCTGCATATTTTGGGAATGTTTTCCTGTTATTCACTCGATGCTGTTGAGGAAGTCAGCCGGGTACAGCAGAGTAATAATACCAAAGGCTCTCCAGGAAAGACCGAGGGGCTCCAGGAACTTCCTGAATTACACGGTCTGTGGGTCTATTTAAAACAGTTTTGCCAAACTGGAGCGACAGTGAGTCTAAAATACAATCTCTAACAAAGGAACAATTAAAGATCAACGAGTACAACGGATCATAACGCACAGGACAAGCTGACGCTGCCCTCTTGTGGATATTTACAGGTACTACACAATTAAAGAGAATTCAGTAAAAATGGGAAAGGGAAAAAAATCTGTATAAAAATGTAAATTTATTCCAAATATTTTTGCAATTTATAACACAATATGCAGTGTTGGGTGATTCCATGAGTATATCAGCTATTGGCAAGGCCAAATGAATCATTGGTTGGAGTGTTCGGAGTAATTTCCCTGAAGATTCCAGCTCAATACAATTAACTTGTAAAGCTCAATTGGTGACGAGCGCTACAAGGTGGTGTCTCCTTACTTTTGTTGCGATAGAAATTCTTGTTATGTATGATGGTTTGTTTGTTGTACGGTTGACATGAAGTATAGTATATTAATAAGTATTTTAATTAAAACAGGTGATTTGGATTTTTTTTTTTTTTAGGAGACTTTTGCCTCTAGAATACAAAATCTTAAAAGTGAATTAAAAGAAACAGCCAATACAGAATTGCCTTTCAGAAGCTATACAAAATAAACTTCCCAACACACAGCCTAACATTAATCATGTCTAAAAAATAAAGCTTTTAATTTTTGAGAAGAAAAGATCTCGACTTGCTGATCAGGACTTTGCGACAGTCTTTAAAAGTGTGTTCTTCAGGTAAGTGCACAGCTGGTTCATCAGGTCTCTGTTCAGACCCTCCACCCAGTGCATCTCGATCACTACGTCACTCTGCTCCTGGATCACGTTCAGCAGACACTTAAACAAGAAGTGTTTGACAGTGCTGGGGCTCACGGGTTGTTTCGAGGGCGGCTCGCTCGCTGCAGCAGGTGTTTCCTTCAGGTCTGCTTCCTGCCCTGTGCAGGTAGAGGACTCCATGTCCACATCCTCGCCTGTTACTTTTTCTGGGGCCTCTTTTTGTTCCCCAGTCATGCTCTCTGTGACTTCTTTACCCGGCTTGTCTGCAGGCGTGCTTTTGCTCTCAGCGTTCTCGTTCTGGCTGCTGCTGTTTTCTGCGGTGGTCAGTTGGTTTTGGGAGGTCGGGCATGTTTCTGGAGCACCTGCGGTCACGGTGGTTTGTGAAGTGGTTCCGGCACAGTGTGGCGCCCTGGGGAGCTCTCGCAGCTGACGTGTCTGTTCACGTCTCTTCTGACGCCCGTGGATCCAGGTGTTCTCCACAGCTGTCAGAAAGAGGCTCTGCTCCTCCTTTTTGCAAGGCACACGTTTGTGCAGCACCTGCAGAGCCGCACACGTGAGACAGTTGGCCAGTGCAGTCAAAACTTCAGTGAAATCTATTATACATAAAACAATGTTCAGTAGTGAAGCTCACCCGCAGCTCACTGAGCGTCTTCTCGACCAGAACGGTGAGGCTGTCCACAGGGCTGCGGCACGTGCAGCCTAAAGCCGAGGCCTTGGCTTGGAGCTCCTTCAGTCCCGCCTCCGGCATTGTGAACGACAGCGGCTTCCGGGCCTTCTCCAGTTTACACTTCTTACTGGGAGGGGACTGAGATCATACAAAGCCAGTCAGACACCATTAGACAGCAAGCTGTACTGGATATTACTGAGGACAGGGGAACCAGATTTGAGGATACTCAAATCCACACAGTAATAAGTAGGGATGGGTACCGGTATCCGGTGCCATTATGGCATCGGTTCTGACATAAACGGTAGTAACCAGACCGAAAAGCAGCGCACATTTCGGTGCTTTTTTTTTTCCTGAGATGTCATACACTTTGGATTCTAGCCAATCATTTTACCTTTCCAAGGACAGTAGGCGGGCCCACTACGTACGTTCTTTTAGAGCAGAGCTACAGATTAAAAACGCCCAAGGCAAAGCGGTCAAAAGTCTGGCTGTACTTCACAGCAAAAGATGCAAACTCAGCAGCCTGCAACAAGTGCTTTAAGGTGATACTGTGCAAAGGAGGCAACACCGCCGTTCTTCTCTGCGTGAGTAGCTTAATGTTGTTCGTGTGTCATTTACGTTGAGTAGGCTAACCACGTTATTACATTAATGCATGTAAGGTGAACTAGCAAACATCGTCGTAGTTACATGCGGCTGTCTTCTTGTTTGATGGCAGATACTCCCTTCACCCTGGCCAGAAAGCCTAAAATGACCGAAGAAAAAGTGGACAAAATTCATAGGGCAGTGACAAAATTTATAGTCAAAGATCTCCATCCATTTTCAACGGTGGAGTCACCATAAAAAAAAAAGACTGCTAAAAATAAAAGCATAAGAGGTTTTTGGACAAAGTTTGTGTTCTCCATTCTTTAAGCACCGGCACCGTTTCAAAAGTATCGGATGAAACCTAAACGATACCCATCCCTAGTAATAAGAGACAATGAACTGTATGAGTTCAGAGCACAGCTGCCAGCAGGGGGCAGTGTTTACACAGTGTGAGCTGTTTCAAATCCTTTTGGCAAACTCAGACATCTGTAAAGTCTTCAATCAAGAACGCACTAATAGTAACGCACTTCTTTCTGCAACTACAGGAAAATGTCATTTCATGAATATGCAGACAATAACTGTGTTATAACAGCATTGAGGGGGACATGCAAGGAAATATCATGCAAAAGTCTACATCAGGTGTGGAGGAACTCCAGGCCTCGAGGGCCAGTGTCCTCTAGGTTTTAGATGTGTCCTTTATCCAACACAATTGATTTAAATGGCTAAATGACCTTCTCAACATGTTTTGAAGTTCTCCAGAGGCCTGGTAATGAACTAAACATTTGATTCAGGGTGTTGACCCAGGGTGATATCTGAAACCTGCAGGACACCGGCCCCTGAGGTCTGGAGTCACCCACCCCTGGTCTGCATATTGTAGACCAAACTGGATGTCAAAGTTAAGTAGCTCCGTATCACAGTGCGACTTGTAGTCGGCATTAAATTTTAAAAGGATCAACATCTGTGCTGCATTCAGACAGTTGACCTTTGAGGAGGAAAACTGACATTTTACTGGATTGAGTCTTTTTCCTTTGGCCTTCAGAGTAGCTGCAGTGTCCTGCTACCAACACTAAAATCTGCTGAACACTTCCTCACATTTTGTACTCTCTCGTCCTTACTCTTTAACCTCTCAGATACAGTTTTTGCTCATTTTAGGCCTAAAACGATCTCGCGGAGAGGGTTGGAGCATTCCCCAGCAGTCGCCCATTAAAAATACTACATAAAATGAATGGCATGAGTAAAATGATGCAGTTATATCTGTGCATCAAAAACAAATCTAAAGAGAAAAAAATAAATGCAGAGTGCCACAAGAGGGCGCTCAAATCATGCAAGCTGCACCTGAGCCTGCAATAAATCAAACGTAACTTTTTAATTCCCTTTAATGTCAGGCTATAATGGCGATGTAGATCATCACCCAACTGTGTCGGAGTACTGAGACTCTGCATCATACTGCAGCCGACCTGTGATCGCTACACTCACTGCAGGCTGGCTTAAAGCGGGGAGACAGCGGGGGTCTGCGGCAGTAGTGAGGCAGCAGACAGCATGGCCGACTGACCTACAAACAGCTGAGGGAAGGAGCAGAGGGTGACCTTCACTCTGCTGCACTCGCCTGCTGTCAAGTTTCAGTTACTCTCAGAGTCACTGAAGATTTTTATTGTTGCCTGTTAGTGATGTTTCATCATTTACAGTTCCTCAGTGATAATCGCCGAATTTGCTGCACATTCAAGAAGAAGAGCAGAGTTGGTGCTCACTCCCTGTCTCAATCATCTATTGATTTTTAGTTAAAATGACGGTGCTTTTAGATGCATATTTAGAGGAGATGGACACGTGTAATTAATGGGTTGACAATGAGCGCTGCCTTGTCTGGCTGCTGCTTTTATTTCTTATTGTTTGCCTCAGACGTCTCTCCCTCTTTTCTGCACGCTCTGCAGCTCATTGTGCAAGGAAATCAATAAAATCCATCAAGCCAAACCTGTCTGTTCATAACCGAGCATCCTTGACACAGAATCTCGCACACACGCGCACAGACAAACAGACTTAGCAAAACCCACATTTAGAGTTTACATACACACCTCTCAACTGAATCCCATCCTCCTCTGATTCCGCTGCTCTTTCACTCCATTATTAATCCCACTTACCCACTACAACCTCACTGCATGCCCTCTCTCTCTCTCACACACACACACACACACACCTGCCCGATTTTTAAAATTAGAGATGGTTAAAACCAACAAGAGTCCAACAAGAGCTGTTCTCTCCACATATAATGATGTTCAATCATCAATCTTCACCTCCTGAGTCCATGAAAA